TCCTTGGACAGGACACTTTATCTGCATTTGTCTCTACCCAGGAGTATAAATGGGCACTGGCATATGCTAGGAGGGTAAACAGACTCACTAGGAGGAGTTGGAATCCCCTCAAATCGCTGCATAGTCTGCGCCCCCAACACTTAAAAGAGAGGGATGGGCACTCCTGACCTGTACATGTTCGACTACCTTTAGCTTTTAAATATAATTAACGTATACATGACTATATAAAATAAAAATTGGAAGTATACACACAATAATTTAGCTAATTAATTAATTTAAATATATACATGCCACATATTACTTTGTTTTTAATTACCATCCATTCATTCTTATGTTAAAATAGTCTACTTATGTTTATGATACAAAAATATTTGTCCTCTTTGTACAGATAACTCCTGGCTTGCCCAAGACAAGGTCTGGAAAGATTATGCGAAGAATATTACGTAAAGTGTGTGCGAACCAATCAGATGAGCTAGGTGATATAAGCACGTTGGCTGATCCTTCTGTCGTTGAGATTATTGTGAACAATCATGAACAAGTTCTTAAAGAACAAAAGAAATAACTATTGTCATTTTTGTCAGCCAATGTCTATGCAGTTCTAATGTAATAGTAAACACAAAGTCATATGAAAGAAGTAAGTAAATATTATATTCACAATATATTTGAAACTTTGTGTATTATTCAATATGAATGTGTAATTGCAATTTTCCAAAGAATATGCTGTTGTAAACATTTGTAATAGTTTGAAAATATACATGGGTAAGAATAAAAAATAGGCTCAGACATATTAAAGAGATAAAAATAAATATATTTTCAAAAATATTCAATTTTAAAACATGTATATTAATAAATATAACTGGACACAATGGAAAATGTTAAAGTGCCATTAAGCATAGTTTCCTTCAATTCACTACACTGGAACAGTGTTTTCACTGCCATCAATAATGTTCATGTGATTTTCTTCTTTTTGTTGCAACCCACTGAAAAATATAAGCAACCCATAAAGTGTTAGTTTATAGCATCCTATTGTTTTTCTTGTTGCACAGTCTGTGATATTATGTAAGAGTATTAAAATGGGGAGTGGGGGATAAGTAGTGGCATATCTTGAGGTGTGAACATGGGGATGATCATGATGGATGCCCAATGCGGAAGTGGTGGGAAAATTGTTATTTTTGTTTTAGTTTGCCATCCCAGTGTGTGGACATCTGCCTGTCACTGACTGTAGAAAGCATGTTTCCAGTTGACTTGCCACACTGCAGCAAGTTTTTTTAGAATAAGGTGATATAAGATGATCTTAATAGCCAATTATCAATGTGACATGGTGGGGGTGCTTGGGGGAATGATTCAATGTGATATGGTGGGGGTGCTTGGGGGAATGATTCAATGTGATATGGTGGGGGTGCTTGGGGGAATGATTCAATGTGATATGGTAAGGGTGCTTGGGGGAATGTACTTGACTAAGACAACTTGCCACCAGTATTTTCCCTGAACTATGCTAATGCTGAAAGTGGGAAATGAATATGTGAGGGAGTGTGAGCTACAGAAAGTATTTGCCAGCATTATTTTTACATAGAATTTTGTTGTATATTCCATCAATTGCCATTTATCCTATTTTATTGTTTGTGTATTACAGTATTGTGAATTATGTTAGCATAAGTAACTGTATTATTATCCTTGAGTTTATCTTTGAACCTTGGTTTGTACTTTTTTATGGAATTTTAAGTTTGTCTTCAACATTATAATCAATGTCATTAAGTGCTAACTGCTGGGCAGTGGGGAATGTGTATATTTGTCTTACAGATATTGATGATGGAATTTTGTAAATAACTAATTGAATAAACGAAGAAAATAGAATGAAAACAATGACTTCACTACAGAGTCTGTATTGATGTACTGTTTAGTTCAGCATTGGACTGTTATAGGGAAATGAATGTTAGGTTTGTTCATAAAGGGTGTGTATGGCTAGTATTGTATAGGGGTTGAGGAGATTGCAGGAGGTAACATTAGTATCGGTTAGGGGTAAGGCAGGGAAACTCACATGTGACGTCCGTTTTATTTTATTCGAAAGAATATTGTAATTAAAAATCTTAAATCTCAAATCACTCCCATGTACATATATTGTGTTGTGGGTGGGGAAGGGGGGGCTGACTGTGTGTGTGTTTGTGCATATTAGTGGCCACCGTCAATTGAAACGCCTTTAATACAAATTTAAACAGACTGAAAAAAGACATTTTGTTTACTTGTTACAAATTTATTGCAAGTTTTACAGAAAACAGAGTTAACACATGCA